GCTGCTTCCAGAGCTGTCAGCTCACAGACAGTAAGGGGGTTGGCCAAACAACTGGTCAGAAGGAGATTACAGGGGTCTTTCTGCTAGCACTGAGGTAGGACTCCGTTGCTTTACCCATACTCAGATACAGGTGCTGGGTGGCAGTCCCAGTGTGAGGAGGAGAACTAGCACAGCAGAGCTTGCAGCCATAGTTGGGGGGTGGGGGGGGGACTTTCCTCACAGTTTCAGGGCAGAAAAGAGTGCTTATGTTCACTCACAGACCAGAGAACAGGCCAGGAGAGTAGTAAATACCTCTCCTTAGATCATAACACCTTGGAAGAGCTTACATGTCCCTAGAAATATCTGTGAAAACAGCTGCACAAAACCCCTGAAACTTGTGACAGTGCGCCCTCCACCCTGGAAGCAGAGCCCTACTAATAAAGACTTAAAAGTCAACTAGTAATCTGGGGAAATGAGCAAATTACAGAAAAAAAAACAAATTCTTGACTATTGAAAGTTACTATGGTAACAAAGAAGATCCAAATACACACTCAGAAGAAGACAACAAGGTCAAAGCTCCTACATCCAAAGCCCCCAAATAAATATGAATAGGTCTCAGACCAAGGAAGAACTCAAAAAGGATTTTGCAAATCAAGTCAGAGAGATAGAGGAAAAATTAGGAAGAGAAATGAGAGTGATGTCAAGAAAATCATAAAAAATGAGTCAACAACTTGGTAAAGGAGATGTAAAAAAATACTGAAGAAAATAACACCTCAAAAAAACAGACTGGGCCAAATGGTAAAACGGGTCCAAAAAGCCAATGAGAAGAAGAATCCCTTAAAAAACACAATTGGCCAAATGAAAAAGGAGGATGAAAGGCTCATTGAAGGAAAATACTTCCTTAAAAATTAGAAGGGAACAAATGGAAGTTAGTGACTTTATGAGAAATCAAGAAACAATAAAACAAACCAAAAGAATGGAAAAATAGAAGACGATGTGAAATATTTCATTACAAAAACAACTGACCTGGAAAATAGATCCAGGAGAGAGAATTTTAAAATCATTGGATGACCTGAAAGTCATGATCAAAAAAAGAGCCTAAACATCATCTTTCAAGAAAGTGTCAAGGAAAACTGCCCTGATATGCTAGAACCAGAGGGTAAAATAGAAATTGAAAGAATATACCAATCACCTCCTGAAAGAGATCCCAAAATGAAAACTGCCAGGAATATTATAGACAAATCCAGAGTTCCCAGATGAAGGAGAAAATATCACAAACAATCAGACGGAAATAATTCAACTATTACAGAGCCTCAGTCAGGATAACACAAAATTTAGCTGCTTCAACATTAAAGGATCAGAGGGCTTGCAATATGATCTTCCAGAGGGCAAAGGAGCTAGAATTACAACCATGAATCACCTACCCAGCAAAACTAAGTATAATTCTTCAGGTGAAAAAATGGATATTCGGGGCAGCGAGGTGGCTCAGTGGATAAAGCACCAGCCCTGGAGTCAGGAAGACCTGAGTTCAAATGTGACCTCAGACACATAACACTTACTAGCTGTGTAACTCTGGGCAAGTCACTTAACCCTAATTGCCTCGCCAAAAAAAAAAAAAAAGGATATTTAATGAGATAGAGGACTTTCTAGCATTCTTGATGAAAAGACCAGAGCTGAATAGAAAATTTGACTTTTCAAGAGAAACATAAAAAGGTAAATAGGAAAGGGAAATCATAAGGGACTTAATAAGTTTAAACTGTTTGCATTCCTACGTGGGAAGATGATATTTGTAACTCATAAGACCTGTCTCATTATTAGGGTAGTTACAAGGAGTATATATAGACAAAGGACATAGGTGTGAGTTGAATATAAAGGGATGATATCTAAAACCTAAAATTAAGCGGTGGGAGAGTAATGTACTGGGAGAAAGAGAAAGGGAGAGGTAGAATGGGATAAATCTTCCCACATAAAAGAGGCAAGCAAAACTTTTGCAGTGGAGGGAAGGGGGGGGAGGTGAGGAGACGTGAGTGAACCTTACTTTCATCAGAATTGGCTCAAAGAGGGAATAACATACACACTCAATTGTGTATAGAAAACTATCTTACTAAAAAGAAAAACAAAACAAAACAAAAAAAAAAGAATTTAGGGGCAGCTAGGTGGCACAGTGGATAGAGCACTAGCCCTGAAGTCAGGAGGACCTGAGTTCAAATGGGCCTCAGACCAAACACTTGACACTTACTAGCTGTGTAACCCTGGGCAAGTCACTTAACCCCAATTGCCTAAAAAGATAAAAAGGGGAAAAAACCTATCTTACTTACCCTACAGGAAAGAGGAGGGGAAGGGAATAAGAGAAGGAAGAGGATGATAGAAGGAAGGCAGATTAGGGGAGGGGGTAGTCAGCAGCAAAACACTTTTGAGGAGGGACAGGGTGAAAGGAGAGAGAGGATAGAATAAATGGGGGGGATAGGATGGAGGGAAATACAGTTAGCAATAGTAACTGTAAAAACTATTTTGAAGCAAGTTTCTCTGATAAAGGCCTCATTTCTCAAACATACAAAAACTGAGTCAAATTTATAAAAATAGGAGCCATTCCCCAACTGATAAATGATCAAAAGATATGATTAGTTTTCGGATGAAGTAATCAAAGTTATCTATGGGCATATGAAAAATATTCTAACTCACTATTGATTGGAGAAATGCAAATTGAAACAATTCTGAGGTTCTACCTCATACCTCTTAGATTGGCTAATAGGACAGAAAAGATAAATGTCATGACTTGCAGTCCCTTCACCCCTCAGCATTCTCCCAGGCTCTGGCTTCACTTTTCTTTCTCCATTCTTGACCAGATAGTTAACCAGTCCAACATAATATAGTTCCCTGCTCTCAAATCCTTTGTTTGCTGCTCCTTTCATGGTCCATGACTCACCAAACTCCAGCCCTGGATCATTCCCACCATCTGCCTCCTCTGCTCCTACTCACATGCTGCCAAACAGAGCTGGAAGAATTCATCTAGTAGTGCTAACCGTGCACACTACAAATTTATTTGAGCAAACCTCTACTGCACCTTCACTGCTGCGAAGTAATCCTTTTACTTCCACCCTTATTTGAATTCTTTTTGTAATCCTCACAGCAAGTATTCCAAAGTATATCTTTTCTCCTTACACCTCCAATGGATTCTCAAAACCTGTTCCAGCTAGCTCCAGCCCACCCCCGGGCATTCTTAAAGGGCAGTCCCCTAAAGCCCTGACTTTTCTTAACCTAACACTGTACTTGATAAAGTGTTGCTGTGGACTTGCTACCTTCACTATCAAACGCTAAGTATGCCTTTCCAAAGTAAATGACAAGCTAAGGGCTAGAGTTAGTTTGGAGATATATGCCCAAGGGGGCATTCATGGGATTCCTCCTCAGAACACTATGGGCACCTATGCTACCCTGTATTCTTTCAGTAAGACATTTGATTCAAGATTAACTATGAATATTAATCTCAAGTCAAAAGGGCAGATTGCAGAGGGAGCAGGTATGAGACTACTTCATTACACACACACCCCTCCTCTTGGCATTGAACCTGCTTATGCAAGCACTTGAAGAAACAGCCAAGAAAGGAGGCTTTTGATCTTTTTTGTGTTGTGGAACCCTCCGGCAATCTGGTGAATACTATGGATCTCTTCTCAGAATCATGTTGCTAAATGCACAAAATAAAATATGGAAGATTACAAGGAAAACCAATTATATTGAGAAGGAGTTGTCAAAAAACTTTTTTAAGTCCACAGATCCCAGGATAAGAACCTTTGCCTTAAAATAATCCTCAACCAGACAATATATAGCCAGCCCAATAACTATTGTAGTTGCATCCAAATAGTCAGACAACTCGGGGACCATTAATGTAAATTGTCACAAGGACCTTCGTGGAATGTCCCCTTTGGCTCCTCAGATTTGATGAAGCCCCGCCTCATATGAAACTCTTCTTTGTGTCCAGGCTTTTCACATCTCCCAGAGATGGAAGGGCACCTGGAACATTACACACCAGCCATATGCTGAAAGGCCACCTTGGACAATAGGCAGGTAGCAATGCAGGACTTCAGCTTAAGAGGGAGACTAGGGTTGTATATTTAGATGTAGGAGTGATTTGCATAGAGATAATCATTATGTAATGCAGAACATTATTTTGCCATTTAGGTAGTAGGGCCCTTTAAGCCATGGAAAGCAAAAGTTGGTGCTTAAGCTTGCCCCAGACCTCTTTCCTCCTAAATCTAAACAATAGTGAAATGTACTCTTGCATAGCTCAGCATAGCCCATACCTCCAATGCAAATGGATAAGAAAGCTTGCAAATAATTGCTTTAGATAATTATGTTTATACCAGACCAGGACACCTGGTCTGGTTTGTGTGATCTCTGACCTGTAATGATGGGGTGCTCGGGTGCTTGTGCTTGTACTTGTGCCCCAATTTCTCCCTAGTCTCAGAAACACTGTCTCTGACAACCACTCCCCAGCCCAAGGACACTGTGCCTAGCAGTTATTCATGCATGGGCCTCAGCATGACCCTTATCTCTCTCCCTGGTACAGCTACACAGAGCTGGGCTGCTCAGGCCCCAGCCCTCAGATCATGTCTCTGGAAGCCTCCCAATTCCTCAGTAAGTTCCTGTGTTGTGAGAAAGCTTTCTCTTGTTGCAGAGCATTCTCTCATCAAGACAGAGGGAGAGGGGTGTCCTTGGCCAGCCCAAGGACTCTTCCTCCTGCCAGACTGCAAAGATCCATCCCCCTCCCTGTCCAATATACTCCCTGTACTTTCCCATCCATAGCCCCCAAAGACACCTGCACCTTTGGATTACCTCATCAGTGTTCCTGGCATTTCTTTCCCATGTTCTTTTCCATATAAACCCTAGCTCGACCCCTGATCGGGGCTGCTTGATTTGGATGTGCATACCCCTTGCAGATGCGCACTAATAAATTCACATTTTAAATTACATCTGGGTCTCGCTTGCTGATTTCTCAGTACAACATTTTGGAGGCCCCAGCGAGATAGAAGCAAACCGTGTCACTGAAGAGACCCACCTGGAGAGGACATCAGCCTCGGGAGGGGGGAATTGTTCTGTTCTGACTTTTAGGGGAGCCGGCCCCTGAAGATGTTCCAGGGCCCCAGAACTCAGGACTAGGAGAAGCCTCCCTCCCCAACTCCAACTGTACCTCATTTCAGCCCTGGTGGATCTGGTAACCCTCCAGAGGTAAATGTCTGCAGACCTGTTTTCTGGTGGGGAACAAGTGTCGGATGTGGCAGAGTGCTTAGCGCCTTAATCCCCCGGGAACCCCCAGATGTCAGGACTATGCCCGTATCTGGTTCCTGGTTTCTGTCTTAGTTGTTTTGGTCTATTCGTTTATATGTGTAGAGATTTTGTTTTTAAGAGATTCTGTTTTGCAATCATCTGCCTGAAGGCACCTCTGTTTCATACTGAAAGGCAGGTGTCAGACTGGATTGCAGACAGTTTTCTCCAGGGCAGTTCCTCTGATTTCCATTGGGAGGATGTGTTTGTGTTCAGGCTTTTATTGTTTGTCTGTGTCTGTGTTCTGAAATAATGGGGGGGAGGGGTACGTCTAGTACATCATTTCTCTCCCTTTTGGGTTATTTGCAGTCAGACAGCTGCAGCAGGACTCTGAAAAGTTGCCTTCTTTCTCCCCCTCTCCATCCCCAGGTAACAGCAGCTTCAAAGGAGTGCGTGGATGGGAGAGGGAAAGAGAGAAGAATACTTTATTATTTAGGTTATATGGTTGGTAGAGGGCAAGTTGGGAAGGATCTGTGAAGTGTCAGGTCAGAATTAGAAAGGAATGAGATATGTACGGGTTTTAAGGGGATTTTAAATCATTAGAAAGAAAGGCAAGGAAGTTTAAGCGTGTAGGAGAGAGGAGTGTGTGTAGAAAATTTGAAGGGAATATGGTTTAGTTGCATGGTGTGACTGGAGGTTTTGAAAGTGAGAAGGCTTTGGGACTTTTGCATGAGTAATACTTTCTCTCTCTCTGCATTCTAACTCTGGCCAAGTTTGAGCGTGGAGACAAAGAGAAAAGTTCTTGTGTAGCAGAACACAGACAACTGGTATATGTGCTGAGGACTGTGGCTTGCTGGGTTTAATTAATGTTTCCCCACCAGCCTCAACTCATCCAAATTGGTAAAATTTTGTGGATGTTTTCAATTTCAGAACTTGTTACACTGTTTTGCACTTAAGTACATTGAAGAAAACTCAGACGACTGGATTGTTTTGAGTGCATAGTAAGGGCAGTTTGAGGAGAGATGGAGGGAATTATGTCCACCCACCTTTCAGGCTAGATTCCCGGGTGGGTTCTTTTAAAGATTGGTCATTATGGGAAAGAAAAAGCAATCAGAATACTGGTCCAGTACATTTCTAAGCTTAACAAGGGTACTGCATTTGGGAATATATTTTTGTCTACCCCTCCAAAACTAAATAAATAAGTAGGGGAAAAGGAATGGGTTAGAATAAACTTCAAAGTTTTATTTGCTTTTAAGAGGAAGTTTCACCTATAATTTTATTCGAATCTGTGTAAACGTTTCCTGTGTTGTGAAATTCCTAAGTAAATGAGAATCCTTGAGATAAAAACTGAGTAAATTTTTAAAGGTTTGATAATATTTGTTATTGTGATAATGTTCTTCACGCATTATAAAAATTGAATTTTTTTTCTCCGTTTTTGACAACTTTGTGATGTCTAGGAATTCTGTAACAACTAGGAATTTAGTTTGTTATGGTACTTTGGGAAGTTATTTATGTTACTTGAGGACATTTTACATCAACTCAGTTTTAATGAATTCCATTTTTAAAGGTTTATTTTTACTTTAAGGTAGAAAGCAAAGATATCTATCACTTCAAAAATTTCTAACAAATGTTCTTCATAAAAGTTTAGTGATTATTCTTCTTAACAGGATAAATTTTAATCTGTTTTTAAAGAAGGGCTTGTAGCTAAAAACATTTGACTATCACTTCTGAAAGTTATAAGACTGTTACCTAAGTTATTTGAAGTTACTGTTTTAATGTTACAACCTAGAATTGTTAATTGATTGCTGTGGGAAAAGGAGGGAATTGTGTAAAAGCCTTATCCAGATTGGTTCTGCCCATTCAAAACAGTCCTACTTGGGATAAAGAAGTAGGCAGGCAGGGGCACCAGGATTAGACCCTCTCTGCGGTATAAGGCAATTTCCCTTACTTTGTAAACTTGACCCGGTCCCTGAAAAAAAAAAAATCTGTGTGAGCAAGGTCATCTGCTCTGAGGAAAAAAAAAAAAACTTGTTTGGAGTTTCTAACAATGAACTTGGCTTGCTGAGAAGTTACAAGTTTATGTATGGTAGATAGAAATGATTTCTAATGATTGGCTTTTACACCAGGACAAGTTTAAATTTAAGTGTTAAGTGCAATCTCTTATGTATGTGAGTCCTGGTAAATCTTTATTGCTTATTGCAACTCCATGGGAATATATGAACTGTATCTGGCTTTCAGCTACGTTAGTGAAGCTTGCTGTTTGAGGTAAAAGGCTCTTGGGACTATAACTAATTTTGTTTTGAGTTTAAATATGGGTATCTGAAAGAAATGCCTCAAGCTACTAATGGATAGAGATCTGCATCTGGGAAAAAGCTGTGAGGACAATCTTAGCCTCAATCTAGGATGGGATCCTCCTGGCTCAGTTTCCCCATTGTGTTCCTTTGAGAAGGAATGTTTCCCACCTGACTATTCCTGAGTCTGGCTATGATGTGGAATTGATATTGCATGGTTGGAGAACTGTAACTGTTACCTGAATTCAAACAGAGCTCAGGATTTTCTATCCTGTCATATTTGGATGTCACATGTTCCTGACTTTTTCCTTTTATAGTAGATTTCTCTGATCAGAGCAAGTGGTCAGTAAAAAATATTAGCACAATATAAGTATGTGAGATCTTGCTGTTTTGATCTGAATTTGTGGTTATCCCATGGCCTAAGTATACAATCAGTGTTTGAATTTATCATATGTAAAAGATTCAATTTCTGAAAGTATAATTAGAGAAGAATAAACAAGCTTGTGAACAAGGACATAAATTCATCAACTTGTGAGGGTGAAACTAGTAACCTCTTTGTTTGTTTAAGGAACAGGATTCCAGCATAGTTATGTCAGTGAAGAGTAGTAAGGGCTCTTTTGTGTTAAATTAATGGGAAGTCTAATATTATTTTTAATCTGGAATTAGAACATGTATAGAAATTTATACAAACTTCTGGAGACTCACCTCAAGATGTTCCCATTGTTTAAAGGGATTATGAGAGCAGTAGTATTTGTCTGTGGTCAGTCTCTTACTGTTACCAATTTGAGATTAAATTCTTATTATCTAGGGTATGTGATTGTGTGGGACAGAAATTTACTATTGTTTTGAGCTTTGATTACCAGGATAATTGTCTGAGTTGTTATGCAGCCAATAGTAGAATGGCATGTGCTGCAGGCTGATAACTGATAAAGGTGGAAGTCTGTGCCTGGGAAGACTTTTGAGGACCACCTTGGACACAGCCTAGGTAGGATCTTCCTGACTCTATTTCCCAATTGTGCTATTTCCTTTCTGAACAGGAAAATCCCTACCTGATTTATCCCAAGCCCTGCTCTTAACATCCAGTGACTGCATGATTGCCTATCAGATATGACTCATGCCTGGAATCAAATAGAGCTAATGAAGTTCTTTCCTTCTGATATGATATATGACCCTGTCCCTCTGGAACATCTCTGTGTTGCCATAATAGGATGCAAGTACATTCATGTCCAAATAATAATAATATAGGGATAACATCCTCCTAAGGAGGAAATGTTTACACACAATAATAAGACAAAAGTATAATGTGATAGATGTCTAATTAAATAGGATAGCAAATTTTGAGAAAAGCAACAGGATTAGACTGATATGATTGGCTTCCAAGATGTATCTGTCATGGCAATCCAAGCTTTAAGCATGTTTAGGTAGGAAGATCACAGTTTTGGATTTTTATGCTAAGCCAGAGAAGCAGAGCTCCCTTTTTGAAATGCCTATGAATTAAACCAATTGTACATGAGCAAGGAGCTTAATGTTAGTTAATATAGGTAATACCGATTGTATTCATTTGTATGGTTCATGTCTGAGGTTTTCTTTGTTATCTTGATTACATGTAAATCTCTCTTTTCCAAACTAGTCTATTGTGAGCTCTCTGATTAGTTTAATCTGTACCTGACTTAATGTAATGATGCACTTTTGCGAATTATGAGAAAACTTTGTTGTATTGTTTGAACCTAGTCCTGTGTGACTGGGAAAACTGAACCATCTCTATGTGTCTTTAACTAAAGACTTATGAGGGATTCTGTAATACTTAGGAATTCAGTTTCCTTCATACTACTCTGGAATTTGTGTTATTTAAGAACTTTTGCACCAATTTAGTGAGGTTTTATGAACAAGAGTGGAAATGCATGCAAGCTTTTTAGGGCTCATTTTGGAAATGTTCCTTAGGCAATGTGGGGTTATGTAACATCTAAAAACTTCTCCTTACTCTCCTGTCTGTAATAGTACTGTGGTTGTTCCACAATCCTCCTCCTCTTTTTATTCAGCGCCATCCGGCACTTGGTGGGCCTGTCTGGATGGGATCACACAGTGTGTCTCCACTGCGGTGTTCCTAAAAGAATCTGAGCTTCTATGTATATTAGTCTCCATTATCCCCAGGGTCTCACTTCTTCAGGGCCCAGAGGGTTGGGAGTACTTCACTCATGAAGGCAGTGTGTCCTACCGAAGCAAGCGAGCCATTCCCTTCCTCATCCCTATCCTCGTGGGGTTGGGGTTAGTGGGATCAACTGCTGTGCGTACCACTGCCCTAGTCCAAGGAGAAGCCAGTTACCAGGAACTTAGTGCTCAGATCGATGTAGACCTCAATCATCTGGAGCACTCTATACCCCGACTGGAGAGACAGGTCAACTCCTTGGCAGAGATGGTTCTGCAGAACCGGAGGGGTCTGGACTTATTGTTTCTCAGGCAAGGTGGCCTTTGTGCTGCCCTAGGGGAGACCTGCTGTTTCTATGCCTATAACTCAGGTGTAGTTCAGGAGAGCCTTTCCTAGTACAGAAAAATATGGCAGACAGGCAAAGGGAACAAGAAAGGAACGAAAATTGGTACCACAGCCTGTTTCGGACTTCCCTGTGGTTAACCACTCTTATTTCTGCCTTGGCCGGCCTCTCCTCCTCCTTACTA